GGAAGGTGGGGGCGGAAGACGTAGAGTGAGCGATGAGGAATGAGCAAGGTAGAAGTTAAGAGAGACAGAGAAGAAGGGGGGAGAGGTATAGTTGTGAGGAATTAGAGTGGGGCAGATGTAGAAGGGGAGTAGAGAAGAGGGTGGGGTAAGTCAGGGCCTGGAGGATTCAACAAGTGGTGTGGGTGGGGGAGGGTGACAATGTTGTGAAGGAGGGGGGGTTGGGAAGCGAGAAGGACAAGGGAATGCATGTAATCGGGTAAGGAAGGTTAGAGTCAAAAAGAGAGAGGGTGTCCTAGGAATAGAGACAGAACCACAACGAAGAGAGAAGGATTCGGGGAAGGTGGAAAACGCTAGGGAATCAAGTTAGGGGAGGGAACGGCAAGCGAAAACCCAAGGAAACAAGGAGGGATAGAAAAGGTCATGGAGGTATGGAAGGGAGGATGGTATCCAGGAGGATGGAGACTTGATATTTCGATAGTTCTGTGAGACCGCGGGAGGGGTGGGGTTAGGTTGTAGGACACCTTAGAGCCGGCGTTAGGAATTGAAGCTTAAATAAGGGGTCGGGAGAAGGTAGAAACTGAGGATTCTGTTTGTAACGATTGGGGACAAGGTGAGTACATAGGCAGAGGGGAGAAAGGGATACGAGAGGGGGGGAGTGTTGAAGGGAGAGAATGGTACAGGGGGGGGTAACGTGAAGAGATCGAGATATGCAAAGAAAAATACAGGGGGGCTAGTTCGACGGGGAAAGACTCACGAATAATGGGTTATGGGCAGCGATGTAGAGGTGTAAGAAAAAGAACTGGCAAAGAGAGGAGGGAAAATCGATGCGGAGGCGAGGGAGTATGAGATGTTAGGAATGCAAAGAGGTGGTGCAGGTGCGTAAGGGTTCGAGTCCTCTATAAGGGCCAAGTGGGGGATGGTGAAGGTGGATTGGCGAAGAAGAAAGTGAGACCCAGCACTAGGGGATCTGGATGTGCAGGTTGGTGGAACTATGTACAGCAAAGAAGCAGACAGCGAAGAATGAGTGGGTGTAGCAATGAGGGTGTGGTGGAGGGTAGATGGGTGATCAGCAGAGCAAGGCGGTTGATGAGGGAGGAAAGAATATGGTGGGGGGATGTTTGAGAAGGGATATGCAGAGAAATTGTTATAAGAACGTGTAAAAGGGGAAGAGGGAGGATGAGTGGGAAGGAAACTAGATCTGTAAAGGGATTTCATTTACTAGTGGGTACACACTTTCCTGGTCCGATAATCTCGATGACACTAGTTCATTGCTAATAAAGTGGTGTGTGAGATAGAGTCACTGTATATATGGCTCTCTATCTAACACTAGATACTAATATTACACACATCTGCTCAGTTTACTTCTAGGCATAGCCATACAAACACACACAGCGATATAGACCTTAATATATTGAAGGGCACGGTACGCCGCTTCGTACCACACCCGCATCGACCTCTGCTCCTCACCACCACGTTGACAAACATGCAGTACGCTAATTACAAATAACCAGCGTCACACTAGTGTAATGGACATGACGTGAAGGGATCTCTGGCAAACGTGAATATCTGAACTGATATCCACAGCACAGTCAGTGGTGTCATCGGACTACTACTGGCAGTGTCAGCGGGACACGCCTGACTGCTGCCCAGGCAGTTCGGCATCAACCCCGCAACCTCATCCACCTATAAAAGTCCACGATAGATGAGGTTCGGTGTACCACTCTCCGAACGACTCTAGCTTCAAATTTCCACTCCCACTACCAACTCAGGTCTCCCAGTGGCGGTGTGTGTTCTCTGAGCTCTACTGGCTGGGTCCTACTATGGCGTCTATGGACACAGTGATCTGGATGAGGAGGAGTAGGAGGACGCTCCTGAATGCCAGCAACCACTCCAGAGGACAGGTCGATCCTGTGCTACACATGTTGAAGATGGGTAGGATAAAGACTGGAGGAAGTACTTATATAGATCCTTCTGGTTTGCTGATTCAGGAGTGGAAGTGATGGATCTGGCCTATCTGCTGCAGTTCTGGCCACTGCTGTGAGTAATTAGGAGGCTCCGGAAGATCGTGCTACGCCCATCAACTTACTTCTTTGACTACATTGGAGAGAGCTTTGCAGCACTATCAGCTACACACTGTCACTACACTCAATAACTGAGTTGGTCAGCTGTGGTACTGGAGAGAAGACTGGGTTTCTACCACTCTACGTGCTACAGCCTGTCTTAATGAGGTATGGGGAGTTGCAGACGTGAGGTATGAAAGCATGTGGCAGATATCCCAGTCTCTATTACAATATACAAAAAACCCACCCAGCAGAGTTGTTCAAACCGCATTCTCAGCGATGGTCTGGGCAGCAGGACGATATGCTGTTGTCTGTGGAGCTTTCAGATGTGCTGACTGAATGGATCTTAAGTCATGCCAATCGAGAATGCCCTGTTCTTGTCTGCTACTATGGCCAGGGTCAGTTTAACCTTACTTTCATTCACTCCTCAATCTTGTGATAAACTCTATCTCTCTCTTCCATCAGTGGGAACTTTGCTCTAGAGCCTGCTATACCACTGGCTTCCCACCCAACCCTGTAAGCTGTCCTACACACACACAAGTACTACTGCACCAACAACCTCTGCTGTGAGGGCAAGGAAAGGTATATTGACTGATGTATGAGGAAATTATTTCCTCTCTGCAGCTGAGTCAGGATCTCCAATTGCAAGGGCGCTCGCTCTCCACGCTACTGAGGTTGCTGCTAGTGGTAGCCGCTTGGGCCTCTCTCACATCTCTACACAGAGCCCCAGACATAAAAGCTATACATCGCTAACTAGTTGAAAACAATAATGATACCCTAAAGTTTGTTTAAAACCAGATATCCACTGTAGTTGACACTGAGAGTTATGCTATGAGCATAGTGGCATGCCACTGACAGAGAGTAATCTTATTCGCAGCATTTTGTGCGATATAGTGTCCAGTTCTATATGGTCAACAATATGTGAGATCCAGTCTGTCCACTTTGTTTCAGAGTGTCGTGTGGAGTAGTTTATGGTCTCATGCAGCCGCAGTACAATGGAAACTGACAGTGAGGAGTAACATCAACAGCAAATCTATTTAATCTACCCGAAATCTAAGAATCAGTTTCCGATGCATCACATGCTAAACTAAGCATGCCAAATACGTAGAGAGCATAGTTTTTCCTCGTTTGGAATCATAGTTTCATTAACATTGACTATACTATACATAATCGATATTATCTATTCTGAGATTATCTGGTTTGCATGAAGATGACTATACACTCTATCCGTCTCTGTCCAAGATCTCTGACCTCTCTGTTGTATGAGGACGACCTGAGGCCAATCAACGGTCAGATCAGACCAACTAGCCAAATAAGTGAACATCACTGATGAATGATTTAAGTGTCTCAAAGTAGCACCAACACAATCTCTTTGTCGCACATGGGTGACCACAAAGTTGACTTATCCCACACCACACACACACAGCCGACTCACACATGTACATCTACTCACAGAATTGCACAGTCTATTATACCGCAGTGGTGTCTACACAGGCCTCCGCTGAGCCATCAGATTTAGCCAAGCACAGCTGTACAGGTCACGGCTAAGGGTCACCTGACAGGAGAAGTGTGGATGCCCTGCTGGCAATGTATGGGGACAGTGATCACATGCCTCACAGCAGATGTCTCCACAATCAGTCCATTTTACACCACCCGTGCGCCTACATAAGACCCAACTCATCTCGTGAGAACACACTGATCGACTGACCTCCACTAGAGGTCATTATCACTACACTCTGTGTGTCTGTGTGTGTGTGTGTCGAGCTCTCAGTTTGTTCTATACTCGTCTGCAGTGTTCCAGCTGTGATAGATGACAGTACTACTGGGGAGTGTCCTGTCGCGCTCTGCTGCTGCTGTGTGTAGCCTTGGATGCAGTGGCCCAGCAGAGCCTTCTCCGAGGAGGATATCGAGAAGCTCCTCAATGCCCACAACTACTACCGCAGCCTCGTGGACCCAATTGCCACCGACATGGCTCAAAACTGTACGTATAGCTACTCCCTGTTTTGCTGAAGTTTTGCCACGTGAAGTTGTGGGCATTTCCTAGCTGTTTGCCGCTACACCATGCACTTGTTGTGGTGGCATATTTTGTATTACCAATGCACTAACTTGTTGCATATCAATGTTTTTCCAATGCACTCTTTGGGTATAAAAATGTAAAAGTGGTTGCCTCCCCATGTAACTGTCACGAAAGATGCTGATCTTAAAAGGCTATTCAACCTCTTTCTCTCTCTTGCTGTACTGATTCATTCAGGCCTGGGACAAGACCAACATGGCTTACGATGCTGACTACTGGGCAGACTAGTGCAAGTACGATTGAAACTGATCGCCAACGACCATCCCGACAGAGTACGACTACATCGGACAGAACATCCTGGCTCACTGACAGCAGCGATCGGATCACACTACAACACTCTGCTGGAGGGTCGTTCACAACAGAGGTCAGCGATACACTACTACACTAAACTGTCGGAGTGTACCGTACGACGATGAGAGGAGAATGAGGAGCTGGAGGGATTGCGAAGGGTAACATCCAGGTGCGATGAGAGTGTTTAAATCCTTATTTCTACACGCGGGCGTGAGTACTGTGCATTATTTAAAAGACCAGCTAAAAGAGTTTCTATTGTCACTGAAGATAAAGATGATCTATGGGCAGCTCTAAATACCCCCTAATATTGTGTTGTCATATTACTAAATGATACATGTTACTAATATACAGGCCAACTATATCCCGCTACCGCAGACTGCATCTGGTGTTGTGAGTCACACTGAGGAATATTTGTGTGAACTGAAATATTTCAGAAAATATGCTATCACAATCGCCTTGTGTCCAACAGTGCATGCACTTTCGATATGCTCAATGAGACACTGGTTGACTGTGTACAGATGGTGTGGGCCAGGACAGAAGTGGTGGGCTGTGGAGTGAGGAGATGTGCAGAGATCGAGGGAGAGTGGAGAGAAGATGATGATGATGATGATGATGATGAGAATGACAACAATGAGAATATACTCTTCCTGGTCTGCAATTATGGCCCTGGGTATGAGTCATTACTCCACCTACTGTTAGTGTAGCCACCATTACCGTAGGTGTAGCAGGCAGCAATGTAACAGGTGACCTCAGTAATGTTCAGAACGCTTCAATTTGTCACTAATTGATGGACACATGTCAATTTCACTGCACTACACTGTGACTATACATGTCTTTTGTCTACTCGAGTGGGACATGGACAGAACATTTCCGTGTGCTTATAAACTTGGCTAACACAACTCCCACTATAATGTGCATTACACTCGTAGTATAGTTTGAAAGAGGGTGTACATAAATCTCTACAAGGTCTACAAGACGCCTACCGTAACGCCAACAAGTTAACATGCACCCTCATCTCAATGGTACACGTCGTGTCTATGATACAGTATGTGGTCCTTTCCCTTGCAGTGGAAATTTTGAGGGAGAGAAGCCATACCAGACTGGTAGTGAAGCCTGCACTTCCTGCCCCAGCGAACGGCTCTACTGTGTCAACAACCTTTGCTCATGTACGACTAGACACTTTTTTTAAATTCACAACTGAATGTTCCCTTCCAAACTCTCTCTCTCTCTCTCACACACACACACACACACACTCTCTCTCTCGCTCTACAGTTGAGTCAGGAGCAGTAGTTGCAGGAGTGTCCCTGCTGGCTGTAGTGCTGATGGCAGTGACTGGTGCTCTGATGCACTAAGCCATACTGTCCAATGAAGGACACATAGGCTTTTAATGCATATACTTAGAGACCAGTCAACACTTTACAGACTTGGCAGTATTAGCCATAGACTTTCGTTTTGTTTTTCGATATTTTTCGTGTTGTCATAAACTAGTAAGAACAGAACACAAATACAAAGATAGGCAGTGTGTATCTATCGTCTACATAAACATCGTGTCTTTCTACTGGTTGGCGATGACATCGTAGGGAGAATCAGTGAGGGGAGGTCCCTGGGATGAGTGTGGGTAATCAGAGGGAGGGTGTGCAGTAGGTCTGGCTGAAGATGATGGTGGCTGACCCACTATCTCATACATGGCCACATCTCCACTGGAACTCTGGTCATGGGACACCACTCCATAGGCTGCATTAGTGGCAGTGGGAACACTCTTACTCTCCACTTCACCTCCTTCTCTCACTCCTCTGTGGGGGATGGAAGTATAGGAACCTGTTAGTGTGTATGCCAAGGGTTACAGAATGATGAACTTACGGTTTTTCAAGCATTAGCTTGAGGGTCCGTATCTTAAGAATGAGTATGACAAACCCTAATATAGAGACTCCAATGATCAAGATGACGACGAGTGAGAGGATACCTCCAACAATTGAAGCTGACTCATTACTTTCAGTTTGACATGAGGCAGGTTGACCTATGTGATGTGGTTGTTGACAGTTTTTGCATGCAATATCATAAACTATGGTAGCTACTACTATATGCTGCTCAGAGGCAGTAGCTTTAGCTAGCTATACCCCTGCATAAACACAGGACATTCCACTTACAGTCCATAGAAACTGTTTACTTCTACGTGATGTCATGGCACTTTGCAACATTTGGCCTAATTGGTGGTACCTTATTCGTCCAAATTGGTAAGATTAACAGCCCTCAAAATAAATCAGCTTTTTTTGTCTGAGACATGCTCACAAACGATGTCACAAACAGCACCAACACAGAGACACATCATCTCACCTGTTGTCATCTGTGAAGTGACAAGTATTGTGAAGCTCTCGACACTGCTCCTACTAGATCTGAGTGCAGTGTTGGTGGCCAGGACTTGAACATAGTAGGTGGTGTTGTCTCTCAGACCAGACAATTGGACAGAGTAGGTCATCACGCCCTCTTCACTGTGTGTCCTGCTGCTATTGTGGATCAGACTCTCCCTACTAGTGCCATACTGTACTACATATGTCTCTGGAGAGTAGGATATGTGGGACACTCTCCACTGGACCGTGACACTGTCTGACTGTACTTCCCTGAATGTGACATCTTCTGGTCTCACTGGGTCCACAGGCTCTAAATAAGGGTATAAAATTTTACAGCAAACCTGTTAAAAACTCACAAACCTGAGATATTGAGAAAGATGGAGTCAGAAGAGGAGACAGGACTAGCAGGTCCAAGGAGAGGAGTGAGGGTAACACGACACTCGTATGTGGCCATGTCAGAGAAGTGGACAGGACTGAATGTGAGGCTACTGTGTACACCACCCACATCACCAGTGGCTCCAGATATGGTGAGTCTTGAGTCAGGTCTCACTGGGACTCCCTCTTGAAACCAAGTCACCTCCACTGCTACATCTCTTCCTCTCACCACTCCAATCAGATCAATATCACAATATACTACCACATCTTCTCCTACTAGGATAATGTCTTCACTTATTCTGACCATCACAGATGGAGGTGCAACTGTAGGTATAGGCATATATTTAAAAGTAGGTCAGTAGTGAAGATGGAGCTTGTACTGTTTATGTGTAGGAAGAATGCCAGTAGATTAGAGAAGAGAATTAGATGGAGAGAACTTACTAATGGGCATAACTCTTTCTGTGTCACTTGTTGTAACAGTTGTCCCTCCATCCACAGTGTAGTTGGCAGTACAGGTGTAGTTTCCTCCATGAGCCAGTGATAGTGGGTCTAGTAAGAGTTGTCTGGTGACCACTCTGTTGTCAGTTGTGACAACAGTTTGTTCATCAGTGGAGGGTCCCAGCCACTGGATATCAAGAGAGTCTGGCTCCACTCCACTGGGTAGACTGACTCTACATGTCAGTGTGTATGAGGTCCCACCACTCCTGACCCTTCTCCTGACACCACCACCTCTGGAGACTCTGCTGACACTGAATGTATATATAAGGAATTTATCTTTAAAGCACAAAAACTCAGCGAGTGATATACCAGGAGTGACAGGTCCAACCACAGGACTGGGAAGGTCTACCAGAGCCACTAGAGAGATAGTGTTGATCCCTCCAACTGGAAGACCAGTCAGTAGATGACTATTGTCTCTGGATCTCCCACTGACAGTGAAGGACACACTGTGACTCTCTCCTCCAGACTCATAGTAGACCACATAGCTATAGTCATAGATGGGTGCACTGGCAAATGTCCACTCTAGTGAGATACTGGTGGGGGTCTTGTAGGTAGCACTGACACTTGTAGGTTCCATGGCAGCTAATATAGAGTAATAGTTTAGATTGCAGCCATTTTTAATACCATACCTCGAACAAATATCTGTGCCGATGACTAAGCAAGGCACCTTGGACATATTCATGCCTGTTGTTGCTCACAGTACATCTATATGTTACTGTCGTCTCTCTTCCCCTGACTCTCAGAGTGTTATTATAGACAGTGTTACTTGATGTGTCCACTATGATCTGACTGGTGGTGTGGTTACTGTCTTCCTCTACTGTCACTGTGTTTCTTTCTGCAGTCCTCCTCCACACCACCTCTGTGACTGGTCCTCCCTCACTCTGACATGTGAGAGTGAACTCAGGAGGATCCTCATTTGCCTCTGAGTCCAGAGTGAAGTACATGACTGGTGATGTCAATTGACCTGTTTGTACTTTTTGGAAATGAGTCACTTTAATAGAGTAGATAGCTACCTGTGGTTGGAGTCCCAAGGTAGATGTAGATACTCTGCTGTACACCATTACTATCAGGTATATCACATCTCCACATTCCTGTAGTTCCTCTTCTTCTGCGATTGAGATAGACCACTCCATCTCCTCTAGTGACATACAGGTCACCCTCTCCATCTGGTCCCTGCTGGACTTGTCTCCCCCTCTCATCATACCAGTCACCTTGTCCATTGCTACAACACTCTGAGTTGTCAGTCACACAATGCAGTGAGTCATTGTGGCCTTCTCCAATGTTTACTGGATGTCCACGAACTATGAAAGAGTTGTTTACCAGAACATCTCCTCTGAACTCAAATCGAGGGTAGGACTGAGAGCTAACTCCTGCTAGCAGTAAAACTACCACCAACAGACAGAGCTTTGCCATGCTGTCTTCTGCCACGCTTGCCCTAGCTATGACTATGTTAACTGTGGTCACTACACACACAAAGCATGCCAAGTGGGCATTAGGTAGAACAAACACAGTATATTCTAACACCACACAAGTTTGGTACAGCAAGAGCAATACATAATATTCTGTACAATAATGTTGCTAGACCTCTACATCTGCATAAAGGCCACTATCGTTGGCCTTAGTGTGAGTTATATGTTCCAGAGTGTTCTGGTAGTGCTGTTGGATCCCATCCTCCGACTCCTCTCCCTCCAGCTCCTTGACACTGCCTCGCAGCTTGTCCAGTAGACCCTTGATCACTGGCAGAGCCTGTGTGTACATACAGCAGAGGGTAATATCATAGTAGCACACCTGTTTGCCATAATACCCTGTTGAGGTATGTTGAGGTAATCATGTGTGCAGGAGAAGATAAGATACTTAATGTGTATATTACGATAGATGTTGGTAACAATCATCCTTTGTAGAGAGGTTG